TGCTTGCTGCGACGACGTTGAAAGGTACCGACAGGATCCTGTTGCCAAAAGCAGCCTGTGTATTTACTAGACATCACCAAACTGCCAGAGTCCCTCGTCAGGGGTGCCATTGGTGGCATGAAACGTCGTTCTCCGCCAGGGAGCTCCAGTGTATCCTGCACCTTTTGTACAGTTAACACTCAGTTAACACTCAGTTAACACTACAGTTAACACTACAGTTAACACTACCGAAATGCTGCAAAAACCAGCATTTTCCTCAAATTTGTGTTAAAGGCAGTAAAAATACTAATTTACTTCTTTTAAATGTGTGTATCCAGCAAAATGCTGGTTTTTGCAGCATTTCGGTAGTGTTAACTGTAGTGTTAACTGTAGTGTTAACTGAGTGTTAACTGAGTGTTAACTGTGGAAAGGTACCATATGCAGTTAGCACTGTATACTCATCATACATCTTGCTTGCTGCGACGACGTTGAAAGGTACCGACAGGATCCTGTTGCCAAAAGCAGCCTGTGTATTGACAGGATCCTGTTGCCAAAAGCAGCCTGTGTATTTACTAGACATCACCAAACTGCCAGAGTCCCTCGTCAGGGGTGCCATTGGTGGCATGAAACGTCGTTCTCCGCCAAGGGAGCTCCAGTGTATCCTGCACCTTTTGTACAGTTAACACTCAGTTAACACTCAGTTAACGCTACAGTTAACACTACAGTTAACACTACCGAAATGCTGCAAAAACCAGCTTTTTCCTCAAATTTGTGTTAAAGGCAGTAAAAATACTAATTTACTTCTTTTAAATGTGTGTATCCAGCAAAATGCTGGTTTTTGCAGCATTTCGGTAGTGTTAACTGTAGTGTTAACTGTAGTGTTAACTGAGTGTTAACTGAGTGTTAACTGTGGAAAGGTACCATATGCAGTTAGCACTGTATACTCATCATACATCTTGCTTGCTGCGACGACGTTGAAAGGTACTGTTGATGGAGGAAATCTTGCACCGCTTTAACTGGCCAAGCAAAGTAGAGACCCCGCACCCCCTTTTTAATATTGACTGTTGATCCTCGACACTCAGTTAACACTCAGTTAACACTACAGTTAACACTACAGTTAACACTACCGAAATGCTGCAAAAACCAGCATTTTCCTCAAATTTGTGTTAAAGGCAGTAAAAATACTAATTTACTTCTTTTAAATGTGTGTATCCAGCAAAATGATGGTTTTTGCAGCATTTCGGTAGTGTTAACTGTAGTGTTAACTGTAGTGTTAACTGAGTGTTAACTGAGTGTTAACTGTGGAAAGGTACCATATGCAGTTAGCACTGTATACTCATCATACATCTTGCTTGCTGCGACGACGTTGAAAGGTACTGACAGGATCCTGTTGCCAAAAGCAGCCTGTGTATTTACTAGACATCACCAAACTGCCAGAGTCCCTCGTCAGGGGTGCCATTGGTGGCATGAAACGTCGTTCTCCGCCAAGGGAGCTCCAGTGTATCCTGCACCTTTTCTACAGTTAACACTCAGTTAACACTCAGTTAACACTACAGTTAACACTACAGTTAACACTACCGAAATGCTGCAAAAACCAGCATTTTGCTCAAATTTGTGTTAAAGGCAGTAAAAATACTAATTTACTTCTTTTAAATGTGTGTATCCAGCAAAATGCTGGTTTTTGCAGCATTTCGGTAGTGTTAACTGTACTGTAGTGTTAACTGTAGTGTTAACTGTAGTGTTAACTGTAGTGTTAACTGAGTGTTAACTGAGTGTTAACTGTGGAAAGGTACCATATGCAGTTAGCACTGTATACTCATCATACATCTTGCTTGCTGCGACGACGTTGAAAGGTACCGACAGGATCCTGTTGCCAAAAGCAGCCTGTGTATTTACTAGACATCACCAAACTGCCAGAGTCCCTCGTCAGGGGTGCCATTGGTGGCATGAAACGTCGTTCTCCGCCAAGGGAGCTCCAGTGTATCCTGCACCTTTTGTACAGTTAACACTCAGTTAACACTCAGTTAACACTCAGTTAACACTACAGTTAACACTACAGTTAACACTACCGAAATGCTGCAAAAACCAGCATTTTCCTCAAATTTGTGTTAAAGGCAGTAAAAATACTAATTTACTTCTTTTAAATGTGTGTATCCAGCAAAATGCTGGTTTTTGCAGCATTTCGGTAGTGTTAACTGTAGTGTTAACTGTAGTGTTAACTGAGTGTTAACTGAGTGTTAACTGTGGAAAGGTACCATATGCAGTTAGCACTGTATACTCATCATACATCTTGCTTGCTGCGACGACGTTGAAAGGTACCGACAGGATCCTGAAGCGTCTCGGCTCTCAGCGTTTCGTATAGCGGGCCCCCACTAGCTGACCGTAGTGCCCCTTCGGTGATTTCTGTACTCTTCTCACCACTTGAAGCCATTCTGCCTGTTACTCAGATTCGCGTTGTGGCTCTGGAACTGGTTGCAGACTGCCTGCTGAAAAGTCAAGACACTATTGACATTGACAGTGCCTTGGACCTCGCAGGGCAGCTGTGGAATCAGGATACTGCAGACGAACTTGTGCCAGCGATCCTTGAGGTTCTACCGAGAGAACAGGGACTTCAGCTGGTGGCCATCATTTCTGTCAGGTTCCCGTTGTTGTGTGTAGCACTTGAGCAACAACTTGCAAAGACTCTTATCAGCCTGATCTCAGACAAACCATGAATCTCGCTCTGCACTTGATATTCACAGTCATCCTTTGCCGCAGATGCATCCCCGCCTACGCCAGTGCCATGAGGCGCACTGGTCGGCCAGATCCCACTGTGTGCAGTCAACGGCCCCTAGGGGAGCCAGCTCCAAAGCCAGCGCACGAAATAAGAGAGGACCCCAAGCCCCCACCCCCCCCCCAAACCAACAGAAGCTTCCATCTTTGCCCCCCTCATTGCAGCTCCCACCACCACCGCTCGCTAGTTCCTCTTCAAATGACAGAATCCATGGAGTGCCGAGGAGCGCGCAAGGGCTCCTGGACTGGAGCGAATCAGAGAGCTCCGCACATGAGACAAACATGCTCCCAGCGGACAGGACCGACAGTCCCACAATCGGCCCCAGCCCGGGGGAAGCCGATGGCCCAGGTCAATCCTCCAGCCCTGCACAAGGACCGGGCACCGACGACTCACTCTCGACAGACTCAGAGCCGCCACCACAACCTAAGGGTCGCAAGGTGGGCATATCGAGCAATGCTGTGGCATACGCAATTTCCACAGGTTCATGTGCGGGCCTTATCACCAGACTCCTCGGAGACATTCGAAGTCTACCTCCTAGGAAGAGGCGAAAGAAGGCTGCTGAACTTCTCGCTAAGTGTGAGACCTTGCAGGCCGAAACTGATGCTTGTTAGAGGCACCTACCGAAGGCCTTCCTTGACTCTTCGAGGGCCTCACCGTAGACACATGTGGAACATGTGCCCTGTCGCAGTTAGCTATGCTCGGCACGGAACGCCAGCCCTGATACCCAATCAAATCCTCAACATGCTCGCATCCCAGGTGCAGTGTACCCGAAGTGGGAAACTCGGTGTAGCAAGATGCATAGCCCTGCACCCGACTGTACTCCCATTGCCTGACACTCGCAGATGTCATACCCGCCCCAAACCCGGACTATATGCCCAGGTCACTCCAAACCGAAGAGCTGCGGGTGCCGTATTCGGCCCTACACAAAGCACCTGTGGGAGGACCTCGGGGTTTCTAAGTGCGAGAATGGAGATCCGTGTTGTAGAGTGGTTGCCGGGCTGCAGGAACATGATGCACGCCACGCCTGATAGCACCAGCATATACATGTGTGGTATCTTTGCCAATAGCATGTCAGATCAAAAGTGGCATCGATATCCCCGAGCTCGGGTCAGGCCCGACGGCACTAGGAGGCGCACCCGCAATGAACTGGCTGCCCGCAGTGCTCGCCGCAATGCCCCTGGCAATCAAAGGGAAAGAGCCGACACTGCGGCCCCCCGTGCTCAGGAGATGAATCAGCAGCCCTGGCGACAAGCGGCCGATCGCGAGAGCCAACAGCCACACTGGCAGAATGCGCGGGGAGCCGACGCTCGGCCCCGGGATCAACATCAGGACTGGTACTACGACGAGGAGGACGAAGATGATGAGGACTACCAGTTTGACACCAGTGACCGGCACGAAGTGCATGCGACGGAGGACGAAGAGGGCTACCTCAAGATCTGGTGGCAGGGAGAATGGTGGTTCCGGCAGAAACCGCCAGACCCACCGGCATCGCCAAAGAAGAGACAGCAGGCTAGCAGCTCGAGCGAGCAAAGGAGGCCTACCATTGAGGGAGCCGTTCCCCCGGCCCCTGCCCAGCATGTCTCCGAGGGCCTCAAGCAGTTCGTCCCCCCTGCCCGAGACAGTGTGCCTCCACAATCCTTGAGAGCCGTGCGTGAGAAGTGGAACCTGCTGGCCATCATCGAAGATGACATCAATGTCCTGCGCAAAAAGAAGGTCGCCCTCATGTTCAAAACTTTCTTCGAAATGGGGCACTTCGTCAAGCATCATGACGACTTCCACCACTCGGAGTCCCTGAAGATCATCCCGGCCGCAGGCAACTGGAACCTTGCGTTTGCCATGTGCCTGATTTCCAGAGACAAGCTCCACTACGCGAACCACTCCACCTTCGGCACAGCTGTGGAATGCTGGTTATGGAGCCTGTCCAAAGATGCGGACTTCGAGCCCATCCTCACCCAGTTCGCCGGCATGCTGCACAGCGTCATCGCACTGTTTGAGGGAGTCCCCATGTCGCTGCATGAACAAATCCATTGGTTCGATAGTCATCAAGACCTGGCAATCAAATTCGACTACTACTTCCCCACCGAGCAGCTGAAGGATGATGAGCAAATTGTCCGTGTGGCAATTCAGGACCAAACCAGCCAGGACAGCAGAGATGATGACATGCCGGACAGGACCTCCAAGCACATGGGGAAACACGGCTCCTGCAACCAGGACTGCCGAGCTGGCTTCGTCTGATGCCTATGTGGAGATGGAGGTTGACTACCCAACGGGGCAAACGCCACCAAATCAATCTGGCAGCATCCCCCACTCCCCGCGCAGGGTCGAGAGATATAACATCTACACGGAGACGACCTACGCCAGCAGTGATGGCACCTCTCTGCCCATGCCAGCACGCGATTCGGCCCCCCTTGGGGAGCCGACGAAGCTCTACTGGAAACTGGATCAGTCTCTCTCCAAAAGACTGTCAGTTGTTCTGAGGCACGACTCTGAAGACTTCGGCTTGACGTTCGACGAGGCAGGGTGGACCAAGGTGTCAGACCTTTTACGTACCTCCATTATGAAGGAGAAGGGGGCAACCCTCAACTACATCCGCTCGGTGGTCTACTGGAACGACAAGCAACGCTTCGCGCTCGAATGGCGAGGTGCCGATCTCTACATCAGGGCGGTTCAAGGTCACTCCAAGAAAGGAATACGTGATGAAGCGGTCATGCGGCCCCTTGGGGATGCCGAGTTGCCGGAGTACGTCCTCCATGCAACCAACTGGGACTTCTACGGCTCGATCTTGGCGAAGGGCATCATCACGGGAGGCCTCTCCCAGTCCCGGACACACATTCATTGCGTGTCAGTAGACAAAAGTGAATATCGGAATTACCCCGCGCATTGTGACATCGCAATCATACTCTCCCCGAAAGAATCGGGGGCCGTCTGGTTCCGTTCAATGAACGGCTACTATTTAACCCGGGGTGCCGATGGCAAGCTGGCCCCGCATTGTATAAAGGCCGTCAGGATCCTGGCATCGGGAGAAGAAGTTTTTGGCTCAGAGGGGCCACCGGCTGCTGACCTCGTCATGCAAGCCATCGTTCGGTCTCACTCTTTCCGGTCCTCCAGGGGAAGCCGACCTTCGGCCCCCAATGACCGTGACCACGACCGCACTGCAGCTCAGAGAGCATACACGGGGGTTGTTTTGCATCATCACATCCGTTGCACCGTCTCCTCTACCCAATGCATACACAACAACCCCTCGCCTCTGCCGCAGGACTATGATCGACGAGATGTCCCAGGTCCCGAGAGTCAGTACGCTAGGTTAAGATGGGGACACATCCTTCTGCTGGGAGTGTTTTTGGTCGGTGGGAAAGGTTATGCAGGCAGGCTTCTTTCGCTGCAAAGAGATAGACTAACTAAATGGCTCTGCACCAGGAGAATCAGAGGTTGCTACAGAAGGAGACCCTACATCCTCAGCACACATGCCACGTGCACCACTAACCTATCTACAACACAGATGGGTGAGCCCGCCAGACGCACATCACCGAGCCGCGCTGGTCCCAAGTCCAGCGGCTGGGCCCCAAGCTTTCGAAGTCTCTTCTGGATGTGGATCCTAATCCTTTGTGGAAGCTTCGTGACAGCAAATGGGGGTCGAGCAGACGTGAGGGTTACCACGGGTTCCAGTACCGTGGTGGGAGCCACACAACATCGGCCCCAACAGTCCAATAGAATGGGCGAAGACACTGGCCAGGCAATACGTAATCACCACAACAGCATCGGGTGGATCGCCAAGAGATCGCTGCGACGAGCTCGCGCACGAGCCTATGCCACAGGCGGCACTCACTATAAGGGCACATGGTACACTAGGGAAACACTGACAAAAACCACAGGGGGCATACACCAGCTGGGGCCGAATGACCGGCCGGCTAAACCCTCAAAGCATCCCAAATCTGACAAAGCATCTCACCTCAGATGTCTCACCTGGAACATGAGCGGGGGGTCGCAGGCGGCCTGGCAAGAACTCATGTCATGGTTAAGTGAGAAACCAGATGACTTTGACATTGTGTTCGTGCAGGAAACACACTGGAAACAGGAGGGGTGCCGCACCTTCTCGTCCGGCCCCTGGTTCGTCGTCTCCTCAGGGGCTACAGGCAAAGACAAATGCTCAGGAGTTGCCACTCTGATCCATCAGAATATCTGCAAGCAAGATAATGTTAGCTACAGGGTTATTAGGCAAGGCAGAGTACTCTCGGTTCGACTACATCACCAACAGAACGGCTCCGATCTTCTGAATGTCTACCAGCATGTGTGGAGGACAAACATTGACAAAGCCGAGAACCTGAAAGCTCGGGCCTCAATCTGGGATGCGATACGGTCTAGCATCATGAAGAGTCCACAAAGGAACGACTTGATTATTGCGGGAGACTTCAACTGCTCCATCAAAACCTCGAGGGGATTGATAGGTAGTGCCGTGGTTGCCAAAGTACAGGGATCGCCTGACGAAGATGACTTTCTCGGAATACTCCAGGACTTCGGCCTCACTCTCCTCAATACGTGGAACTGCACTCCGGCACATACGTGCGTGCACCAAGGCACCAAAACACAATTGGATTTCGTTGCGTGTAGGGTCCAGCACGCAACTCGCACTGCTAGACACAGCAGACCCATGCATCAAGTCGCCCTCGGAAAATGGAAGGCCAATCACCACATCCCGGTGCAGGCTCACATCCGTAGAGTCGCGCCATGTCGCCTCCCGAACCCAGTCAAACCTTCGATGGCGTCGAGGCAATGCATCCAAGACTCCATTGCACAAGCAGATGACCGGGCTAAGAAGTTAAAGCACCTCATCGATGCGGATATTCAGAAGCTGGACCCTGACTTGCATCTTCACAGCTTCACGCGGCAGGTGGATGAGATCATGAAAGAACACATGCAAACCGTCTACCCTCCAGAACCTGCAGTTGACAACCGCGTTTCGCAAAATCCGCAGTTTAAGCACACCGCGAAAGAGATGTGGGCTAAGTACAGGGAATGGAAATCCACCAAAGCGAACAGCTTAATCGAAACTCTCCGGAAATGGAAAAAGTACACTGAGTTTCGCGTGGCCTCTAAAGCGATGAAACAAACTGCCAAGAAAATTAAACGTGAAAAGCTGCAGGCTGTCGCCGAGGACCTTCAAGCAGCTGCCGCTAAGGGCGATCAAAGGAAAGTGTGGATGAGCGCTAGAAAATTAGCTCCCTGGAATCCCTTCGCGCGCACACACATCCGCAGCGAAAAGGGAGAAATCCTCACTCCCAAAGAACAACTGGCTGAGCTCATTAAGCACAGCAGAAACAAGTTTTGTCAGGGAGATGACTATTTGCCCAATCACCGAGTCACTGAACCCATTCTTGTTCAGGCCAAAGACCTCGTTTGGGCCCTAGGAAAACTACCTTTTCGCAAAGGGGTGCCGAAGTCGTCGGCCCCGGCAGCTGTTTGGAGATTGTGCCGTGACCAGGTAGCCAAAACGCTGGAACCCATCCTGATGCGATCCTGGGGGGAGGAGTCCCTCTGCGTCATCCCACACGTGTGGAAAGACACATACCTCGTATGGTTGCCTAAACCACAGAAAGACCCCAGCCGCCCGTCCGGGCTTCGTCCCATAGGACTCTCCCACCCTCTCTCGAAATCGGTATGTACTCTGCTGAGAGAACACATCCGACCACTTCTTGAGGAAGCGCTGGTCACTCGACCGCAATTTGCTTATACTGCCGGCAGAGGGGTTCTAGACGCCTTACTGAGAGTGCATAACCACCTGAGAGAGGCACGTGCGTATGCGACCCTGAGCAAACAAAGCATATATGACCTTCATGCCGGAGCTACCCAGGTTAAATGCGCAGGAGGCATATGCTTCTCCCTTGACCTTGAGGGGGCGTTCGACAATGTACCTCGCACTGCCCTTGCCACTAGCCTGAGACGACTAGGGGTCTCCGAAACGCTGGTGCAACTACTTATGCAGTTCCATTTTGAGGCAAGGTATCACTGCTCAGTTGGCGTTCATGAGGACCACGTCACGACCACACGAGGCATCAAACAAGGCTGTACGGTCGCGCCGTATTTGTTTGTGGCACACACAATTGCTATCATTGACACACTAGCGGAGCGCCTAGGCTGGGACTGGGTAACGCAGCTGTTCACTTTTTACGCCGACGACGCCTTAGCCGCATGGACGTTAAAAAGCGCCGAAGACCTTCAGGGTGCCATTTGCGGCATCCAAAAAGTCGTGCAAACCTTTAACGACCACGGTATGACTCTCAGCGCAACCAAATCGGTCGTGCTGTGTCACGCCAAGGGAGCAGATGCCATTAGGATTTTGCAGAAACTTAAAGTCTTCAAGGACAAACTCCCACACCTTGCCTTCATGCAACACGGCGAGCAGATTCTGATCCCTCTCAGGAAAACACATCAGTACCTAGGTACCGTCATTTCCTATAGAGACGCCCAGGAGAAAACTGTTCAACTACGTATGCGTAAGGCGAGGGGTCAATATAGCCAGCTTCGTAAAGCCATCAACTCCAGACGCGTAACGCACAACCGTCCCAGGTACCAAATCTGGAGAGCCGGGGTGTGGAGCTCAGCAGCGCACGGGCTACTGGCGGTGGGCGTTAGACCCACAGGACGTAAGCATCTTCGTGCAATGGCTGCCAGACAGATGCGGGCTATTGCCAAAAAGCCGGCGCATCTTACCCTAGTGACCAATGAACAGATCCAGAAGCATCTCAATGCTGAGGACCCCCTGCAGGCGCTCGCTAACCAAGGCCAGAGAATGCATGACGCACTTGAGACAGTTGCAGCAGAGTGCCCCAGCGACATTAGGGCCCTTCCACAGGTCCGGGCGCAGCTCGCGCTGGCTATCAACTCACTCCATTCGATGAATTCAGGTGAGCAGCTTCCTGAAGATAAGGAGTCAGACCCTTATACCTGTCCGCATTGCAGTCAGCAATTTCGCACTATCACTAGCCTCCGACAGCATAAGGCATGGAAGCACCCAGAAGATAAGCCAGAACTGCTCAGTTTTGATCCGGCAAACCACGCACTGAAAGGTCTGCCCCAGTGTGCCTTCTGTAAATTCAAATACGGGGCATGGATTGGGCTTAAAGCACATATTGAAAAAGGATACTGCCCTGTTCTTTATCCGGAATGCAGTACTCAGGGAGCCGCGGTCGGCCCCGAAGCAGATACTAGCACCAATCCAAAAGCTCCAGAGGAGGCCACTGCAAATGAGCCGCCTCCCATAGCCCAAAAGCCGGTTCTTGATGTTGCTCGGCAACAAGGCTGGAAAAGTCTGCTAGATGCCGATGTTGTGTCGTCCCTCAAGCAACATTGCTGTGTTTGCAAGCGATGGATCGCCGATCCCACGGCTCTGAAGCGACACATAGTTAGGGCCCACAAGGACGTGTGGGCAGTCACCGCCAACGGCAAACTTGAGGAGCGATGTGCACAGGTCAAGCCCCGACTCCTCCGAAATGGCACCTGCCCGTGGTGTGACAGGTCCTCCCCCTCCAGACATTACTTCCAATGCAATGTGATCTTCCAATGTGCCCTGATAGGACTACACTGTGAACATGACGACGGAAGTGGTGAGCGTCTTCGGCAACCTACTACCAGGGCTAGCGACGAACATGAGAGAAACCTCGAAGCAGCCGAGAGAAATGGACCGGGAGACCGAGAACGCACCGAACAAGCGACCCAAAGCGGCCCGGCGAGGACAGCGGGGAGGCCGGCGACAAATTGCAGACGAGAACCTGAACTCGGTGGTGACGCTCCTGGCAAATCTGTCGCTGCAGCAGGAGGACGCCCTGAACCGTCTACGCCTGGACACATCCTTCACTTTCCACCTCCAGCAACAAGGCCCAGGAACCATATTGCTGCCGCTTTTCAAGGCGGGGCAGGAATGGCAACAAAAACAGAAGAAAGGAGAGAACGTCCCCCCGATGAGAATCGTTGCGCTGGGCCTCCTGCTGAAAGAGGTCGTGGCAAGAGTACAACTGATGGTGGGAGATCCCACGGCCGTGGAGAATGCGATGAAGCATCAGTGGCTAGACCAGCAGAAGCGCTTCGTGTATCAGGAGTGGAACTCGGCCACCAAAAAGGTGGAGCCGTCGGCGACGGCCAAGAGCCTGAAGGTGGAAGAGGCGACGGAGCTCATCAACCAGGTCGCCGAGCTGTGTCTTCCGGACCTGGTCACCAGGTTCTGCGCCCAAAGGCGTCCCAAGCAAGAGCCCCAGGAAGGCGACAAAGCAGTGTTCCTCATCGAAGTAGCCATGAGAGACCCGAGAGCAGACATCCTGCATCAGAAACTGCGACAGTTGGCCAACTGCGCGGTTTGGAATGTGGTGGGGGCGCAACTGCAGCCGCCAAACCAGCAACGCCACGG